GAATATGAGCAAAATATATGAAATTCTCAAAATTCTCCTTTCAAACCACTTAAATGAATTTCTACAGTGTCTGTGTGGCTAAGAACTATCCTGGAAGTTTGGCCTGACTTCTCGTTTCTTTTCCATGATGGAACATTATGAAGATAGACCACCCGACAGATTTTGAAACAGCCTGTACCTGAAGGTTCCTTAACTAACCCCCATTACTGATGCTACTTATATAGAATGGGCACTGTGACTTCTAACATGTTGTACTTTAAAGCTTTTACCCTTCCCCTTTCCTTAGCTGTGGAAATGTCTCACCACTGTATATTTCCCCTCTTTCTCATTACACTTCATTTTCAAGGATCATGGAAAAAAATTGAGTTATAGCTTAGAGAAAGTAAGAATGCTAATTACTGAGACAATGTGATTATCTTATGAGCAGTAACCAGATCTGCCTTGTTCATTGCCAAATCCATAGTGCCAAGACAGGTATCATGGATGACCTCTTTCATTCATGCCATCAGTCCACAAATATTTATTAGCTGCCAACTCTGTACAAGATATGTATGATTTAGAGGCAAACTAGATGAAATCCCCATCCTCATTGAACTTATATTCTGAAAGAAGGACTCAAACAATAAAGAAATGCTGTGGGCAACCTGCCTATTGTCCAAGCCTGAAGACCTGAGTTCAGATCCCAAGAGCACATGTAAAAATCAGATATGAAAGTACAGATGCCATAACCCCAGCACTTAGTGGCAGAAACAAGTGGACCCCAGTAACTCACTGGTCAGCCGATCTAGTTAAAATGATAATCTTCGGGTTAATAAGAATCTCAAAAAATAAAGTGAAGAAGCAATGAGGGAAGGACAGACATCCTGATGCCAGCCTCTGGCCTCCCCACATGCCCAAATGGGTAACCATGTCCACACACACAGATGTGATCACACACGCACACAAGTACGATGAGGAGATAGCTCAGCGGATAAAGTTCTTGATGCAACCAATGGAGGAATGAAGCACGCAATGCTAAGTGTTGATAAATGCACTAGAAGAAAATAAAAATGAGGAGCATGACAGGAAATCCCAGGGAGAAGTGAAACCTAGCAGCAATGATAAGGTACGTGGTTTGAGGTTGCCAATGTGATATTTGATCAAAGACAGAATAAGTGAGCAAGTGAGACACGAAGCTGTCTGGAGTTCAAGTACCAGGCGAGGGAGCAGTATGGAAGAAGGACTATGGTCAGCATCTATTAAGAATAGTAATAAAGTCACTATAATTGGAACAAAATATATGAAATGTAGAGTACAGGAAAATATAAGAAGAAAAGCAGTAGGAGCCTTCAGGAAAACAGTGCAGAGTCCTGTTTTGGTAAGTCCAATATTGTTGCCATATTCTATGGAGAGTTTGAGTAGAAGAATTTGACCTGACTTCTATTCTAGAATAATTACCTCATGTTCTGTGCTTGGGGATACTATAAACCCACTACCAGAAACAGATTGAGAGAGGAGTCAGTTGACAAATTAAGAGTCTGAGAAAAGGACACAGGTGCAGCATGCCATATCGATAGCCTGGATTGATGGAGTATGAGAGCGGTTGGAAACTGTCTAGTTTGCACTTAGTTCACAGATAGCTGATGGAATTTGTAGGTATATTTCAGTTCACAGACAGCTGATGGAATTTGTAGGTATATTTCAGTTCACAGATAGCTGATGGAATTTGTAGGTATATTTCAGTTCACAGATAGCTGATGAAATTTGTTGGTATATTTCAGTTCACAGATAGCTGATGGAATTTGTTGGTATATTTCAAAAGGGCATCAAGAGGCATCAAAGATACATGAAATAGCACCTTGAATGGAAAAAAATAGAATTTCCATTTACTGATGTGGGAGACAAGGAAAGAGACAGGCTTTGGAAGCAGGAATGGAAATCTCTAGCTTAAGCCATGAGAGATTTGAGTTGTTTCATACATGTCCAAGTCTGTCAAGAAGGAAGTAAGATACATACATCTAGTATTGAGGAGAGAAGCCTGAGGTAGAAGTATATTCTCTTGTCACTATGAATTACATTTAAACTCACAATAGTCTATTAGAAAATGATTGTAAGCACAGAAAAACACCAAGGACTGAATCTGAGAGCTGAACACCATAATTTAGGATTCTGCACATTCAGAAACAACCAGCAAACTGAGATTGAAAAGGAGTAATTAGTCAGAAAAGAAAACAAAATAATGTAATTAATTTTATTTAATTAATTTAATTGAATTAATCCAGTAATTAATTTATATTAAAAACAAGTGAATAATCAAATGAATGAGACTGTGGGTTCTAGAGAAAAAAATCTTGGCCATCTTTATGGTTCTACTAACATACAATCTTAAAAGTATAAGTATAAATGTGAATACAAACAGTCCTAATATTAACATCTCAGGCCCATACCTATTCTGGGTCTAAGTTTCCATTGGGGCTATGACAAATTACTAGGTAAGAGTAAGTATGAGGGCCAGACTATGAGACTTCTCATTTCAGCTGTAGGATAGCTATATAACTTTGACTAAATTAATTGCCAATTAATTGTTGTTGGGATAACAACAGTATCTACTTCCTAGGACTCTTAAGAAAATTAAATGTAAAATCACATAAATCATGCTCCCCGGACAGTTTCTGGCACTCAAAAAATACCCTAATAGCTATTATTTTTATTATTATTTGGTACACAATGGACATCAACAATTTACTCAAACATGTTTTAAGCCCAGGAGTCCCTAAGAAGAAAGAATGAACTAGAAAACAAGGTTATTTGAAACCTTTCAATGGGGCTGAAAATTGTCTCAGTGGTATGCTTGTTTATTTTACCCTTTAACAAATGTCATACATGAAGCCTCTTTGCAGCTGCAGTATTTCTCTTTGCATTGTGTGTGTAAATATACATCACCTTTTTAAATCTTCCATGGGTTCTAAGGAAAGCCCCTGTTAAATTGATATACCTTACTTTAAAAAAAAAAAAACTTCTATGCTTTGTTAACATATTAAGGATTAGATGTTCTTAAGAAAGCTAATCTAACAGGGATTGGATATCTGATTTCATTAAGGAAGGAAAGGGAAATGAATTTTTTTTTCTGTGTTCAATGGGAGGGGAGAAGAGATTTGTACAGACTTTTAGTCTCCCTATTCTTTCCTCTACTTTGGGGGTCTTTAACTTTGCTTCTCTACTGCACATTGGTTTTCTTAGGAAAAACCACTCCTTCCAACTACTCATTCTCCTTCATCTCACACCTGAGAGAAGCAATTGATATTGAGCCCTTTTCTCTTCTTAGGAGTGTGGTACACAAAGAAAATTCAATAAGCAGTTGATCTTATCAAAGAGATTAATCCAAGAATAGTGACTTGCTTTCAAAATAATTCTTTGCTTTTCATAGGGAGATCCTAAATAGGATCTCTTTAGGTAGTTTTTTCATCTGTAGGACACTGCTATGATAATATATTGGTGAGAACTTTGCTTAACATATAGCAAATATTTTAGAAACACTCATTTTTATTGATGGCTATGGTCTTCCTGATGCCAAAGATACCTCTCTCTCCCCTAGATTTATGATGGCAAGTGAATTTTGATGATCAGTACCATTCAGATTATGAAGAAGTTTCCAAAGCTTTAAGAGGTGTTAAAAGATTGAACACAAGGTTATATTGACAGTGCAGCATGTTCATTGAGAAATATATAATATGGGAGCAAGGAAGAAGAGTATTTATACATGTGCTTTCCAAATGCACTAGGAAGAAATGTCTTCAGGAAAAGAGAGAATGCATCTTTGACTTCCTTAGAAGAAGAGTGTATATTCATTTAATCCAGTTACAGAGAAGTGTGGTGGATTTTAAGGATATTTGCAATCCTTCTGCTAGCTTCTTTATACGAATGTGGTAGTTTTGGTATTCAACCAAATGTGGTGATACTGTGTTCCCCAAAATATTGTGCACCCTAATAAACTTATCTGGGGTCAGAGAACAGAACAGCCACTAGATATAAAGGCCAGAAAATGGTGGCACACACACACCTTTAATCCTAGCATTCTGGAGGCAGAGATCCATCTGGATCTCTGTGAGTTCAAAGCCACACTGGAAACAGCCAGGCATGGTGACACACAGGAAGTGAGGGCAGGAAGCAGAAAGGTATAGAAGGTGTGAAAACCAGGAACTAGAGCCTGATAAGCTTTTAGGCTTTTGAACAGCAGTTCAGCTGAGATCCATTTGGATGAGGATACGGAGGCTTCCAGATTGAAGAAACGAGATCAGCTGAGGAACTGGCGAGGCAAGGTTAGCTGTGAATGGTTCTGCTTCTCTGATCTTTCAGCGTTCACCCCAATACCTGGCTCTGGGTTTGTTTTTATTAATAAGACCTTCTAACAATTCCTGCTACACACATTTACTAGAAGTCTTTCCATAAATGGACTGTCAAATTCTTTCCTTTGCACATGGAAGAGACTCAGATATTAAAATCAAATATTATGTTACACATACACACACGCACACACACTTACTTCTTACCCTCTCATAACGTATGACAGCAGAGATGTTGAGTTGCCTTTCTTTGCCAATAGAACCTGTATTGCTCTAGAATTCACCTATAGTCACTCACTCTAACTCATTGCTACCCATGGTTATTAATTTTGCCAAAATCACGTTGCTAGGCTTATCAGAGTAGTACACAAGTGAAACATTCGTGAACAGAGTTTGCTTAGAGGTTGTACAAGTACCATGTGATAGCCTTGTCTTTAGTCTTTTTCTAAAGGATATTGACAGTTCCTTAAATCAGAGCAAAATGACTGAAAGGACACGCAATTCGAAGACTGGCTAACCATCCACAAAGTGGTCACAAGACAAGATTCTGACTCAGAAAGACAGCAAGCTTAAGACCTGCTGTCTGACCATTTAAAAATAATCTCCTGCCTTGGGTGACACGTGAGTAATGTGTAAAGCCCTGGGGCTAGGTCAATATGAGTACATGGACAAACTTACCAGTAGCACCTCACATGTTCTGTGTGGGAACTTCAGTGTTTTATCCGCTTTATCTAAACATCCAGCTGTGGTTCTAGCTGTTATGGAGGAGTCTAGGGGATCTAGGAATCCTCTAAAATTAGAAAAGTGGATATATTTTTCAGAGAGGAGATTTCAGATAAAATTAAAACTTCCTACAGACTTTTACTTTGTATTTCTTTAACCATTATTCTTTATTACATGTTCCATCCTCACTCATGTTAACTTTAGATATAAGTTATTAAGTGGAAAGGGCCACATCTAACACAACAGTCTGCTGATCCCCAATCCTTAATTAGAGGACGTGCTCAGGAAACATTAGGTGGTGGGAGGAATGAGTAAACCATGTCTGTATAACAGAAGAGACCCTCTGCTATTAAGCAAGATTATCTTAGACTTCAAGTTTGGGTTTGATTTGGTGTCACTGTGTTCACAACTTCACTTTAGTTAAGAGCTGCCGATAGAGGAAGGAACTTATTCCAATTCCAGGCTCAAGTATGACAATAGATGGCAATCAGCACCGATATCAAAGAAGTGGAGAAAACTCCATCATTGTGAGGCTAAGGATGCTATTATAACCAAGAAGAATGATTAGATGCAGACTTATTATAGCAGTTTCAAATAAAATAAGGCCTGATAAAACATGTTAAATTACCTCCTCAAGAGAAAACACATGCTTGCACAGGATGAAGACATCTTACAGGAACTGAATGTGAGGGCACAGTTACTGCATTTCACAACAAAGACAGAAACAAACAAATAAATGCCTTCATAGTCAAACCAAAATTCTGGAGCCACCTCAGTTTCCAGGAACCTTCCTCATGTGTTTTCATTCCTTTATTATATTGCAAGGTTATGATGGCAGCTGTGGAATGCCTGAATCAACACCTAACCCAATGGAAGCTATATTTACTTAACTGACTAAACAACATGTATTACCCCTGGAAATTTCTAGAACCAAGTCCATGTTTCTACACAAAGGAGAGTTTGAATTCTCATCTCATTTCACTTCCCTTCCATGAGCATAGGAATGGATGACTCTAATGAAATCTTCATGCTATTCAAAATGACTGCCTTCAGCACTGAAGAGCAAATAATATCCTAGAAGACTTTCGGAACTGAGCATGCAGGACCAGACTTTTTTCCATGGGAATTACCTGAAATCTAAGTGTCTTAACTGGTTAAAATTATTATTAAACCTCAGCAAATTTACATAGCCCTACCAAAGAAGGAACAAGATGGCTTACAAATGAGGTGACAACTCTGTTTAACAGCCAAGGACAGTCTTTCAAGATAATTTGGGACAAGGAGCAAAGCTTACCTTATTGAATTGACGAATACAATGGAACCTGAGGCAGTTGGAATGCAATTATCCCTGCTAGAATTCAGTCAAGCCAGCTTCTGACACTTCTAAGCAATGCTGTGGGCCTTTTTAATGAACAGGGGGCCTTGGGATTGGATTTCACCTTAGTTCCAGGTATAAAACCTGCACCCTGAGAATGCAAAGTGGGAGATGTTGATTAGTTCACACATGTCAGGTTCAGAACTCTAATCCTAGAGATCAATAGCTCTGACTTCTGTTTCGCAGAAGAAAACTGAGGCATAAAACATCACAAAGTAAAAAAAAAAAAAAGAACTCTGTTGTTTCATGCTCCCTTTTGTATTCCCAAGTCCACACACCCCTCAATTTAATTTAATTAGCTAACTATTATTACTGTATTTTCTATACTCAACCCTTTGCTCAAATTCTGGAAATTTATGATTAATGTGATGAATGATGCTTGGTTTTTCCTTCCTTTGTTCCTTCCATCCACCCTCCCTCTCTCTTTCTTTCCAGAGCTGAGTATCAAATGCAGGGCTAGGCAAACATACTACCACTGAACCGAATCCCCAACCCCAACGGGTCTTTGCTTTCTAAAAGCTGTTACCCTGTCTGGAGAAACTAATATGAACCCAAGTTATTCTTTCAGAAGGCTGAGTTTATTAGTCGGCTTTCTATCCCTATCAAAAATACCTAAGTGAAAACAACAAATACTAAAGAAGGGGAACACACAGCACTACCACCAAAAGACAACAGGAATTAACAATCACTGGTCATTAATATTCCTTAATATCAATGGACTCAATTCAACTATAAAAAGACACAGGCTAACAGAATGGATACAAAAACAGGATCTACCCTTCTGCTGCACACAAGAAACACACCTCAACTTCAAAGACAGACACTACCTCGGAGTGAAAGGCTGAGAAAAGACTTTCCAATCAAATGGATTTAAGGAGCAAGCTGGTGTGGCTATCCTAATATCTAACAAAATAAACTTTAAACTAAAATCAATCAAAAGAGATCAGGAAGGACATTACATATTCATCACATGAAAAATCCACCAAGATGAAGTCTCAATTCAAACATTTATGCCCGAAATACAAGGGCAGCCACATTTGTAAAGGAAACATTACTAAAGCTTAATTTGCACATCAAATCCCACACACTAGTAGGAGACTTCAACACCCCACTCTCACCAATGAATAGATCTGCCAAACAGAAACTTAACAGAGAAATAAGAGAACTAACAGATATTATGATTCAAATGGACTTAATAGATATCTACAGACCATTCCATCCTAACACAAAAGAATATACCTTCTTCTCAGCACTGCGTGGAACATTCTCTAAAATCGACCACGTACTCGGTCACAAAGCAAGTATCAACAGATACAAAAAAGTTGGAATAACCTCCTGTATTTTATCAGACCACCATAGATGGCTTAAAGTTAGATTTCAACAACAACAAAAATTACAGAAAGCCTACAATCTCATGGAAACTGAATAATGCCCAACTGAATCACCAATGGGCCAAGGAAGAAATAAAGAAAAAAATAAAGATTTCCTAGAATTCAGTGAAAATGAATATACAACATACCCAAACTTATAGTACACTATGAAAGCAGTGCTAAGAGAAAATTCATAGTGCTAAATGTCCACATAGAGAAGATGGAGCAATCTCACTCTAGCGATTTAACAGCACACCTGAAAGCTCTAGAACAAAAAGAAGCTAACCCACCCAGGAGGAATAGATGTCAGGAAATAATCTAATATAGGGCTGAAATCAATAAAATAGAAACAAAAAGAACCAATAAAACAAAGAGTTGGTTCTTTGAGAAAATCAACAAGCTAGAAAAGCCCATATCCAAACTAACTGAAAGGCAGAGAGAGAGCATTCAAATTAACAAAATCAGAAATGAAAATAAAGACAGAACAACAGACAATAAGGAAATCCAGAGAATCATCATGTCATACTTTAAAAACCTGTACTCTACAAAATTGGAAAATCTAAAAGAAATGGACAATTTTATGAATAGGTACAATATACCAAAGTTAAACAATTTAAATAGACCTGTAACCTATAACAATTTAAATAGAAATAGTCATTAAAAGTCTCCCAACTAAAAAAAGCCCAGGACCAGATGGTTTCAGTGTAGAATTCTACCAGATTTTCAAAGGAGAGCTAATACCAATACTCTTCAAATTGTTCCACACAATAGAAACAGAAGGAACATAACCAAACTCTTTTTATGAGACTACAGTTACCCTGATATCCAAACCACGCAAAGATGCAACAAAGAAAGAGAATTATATACCAGTCTCCCTAATGAACATTAATGCAAAAAATACTCAATAAAATATTGGCAAACTGAATCCAAGAACACATCAAAAAAATTATCCACCATGACCAAGTAGACTTCATTCCAGAGATGCAAGGATGGTTGATACAAAAATCTGTCAATGTAATACACCACACAAACAAATTGAAAGAAAAAAAACCACACGATCATCTCATTAGATGCTGAAAAAGCCTTTGGCAAAATCCAACACCCCTTCATGATAAAGGTCGTGGAGAAATCAGGAATACAAGGAATATACCAAAACATAATATGGGCAATTTACAGCAAACCAACAGCCAGCATCAAATTAAATGGAGAGAAACTCAAAGCAATTCCACTAAAATCAGGAATAAGACAAGGCTGTCCACTCTCCCCATATTTATTCAATATAGTACTTGAAGTTCTAGCTAGAGCAATAAGACAACAGAAGGAGATCAAGGGGATATAAATTGGAAAGGAAGAAGTCAAACTTTCACTATTTGCAGACGATATGATAGTATACATAAGTGACCCCAAAATTCTACCAAGGAACTCCTATAGCTGATAAACACCTTCAGTAATGTGGCAGGATACAAGATTAACTTTAAAAAAAGTAGCCCCCCCCATATACAAATGATAAACAGGCTGAGAAAGAAATCAGAGAAACATTACTCTTTAAAATAGCCACAAATAATATAAAATACCTTGGAGTAACTCTAACTAAGCAAGTGAATGACCTGTATGACAAGAACTTTAAGTCTATGAAGAAAGAAATCAAGAAGATATCAGAAAATGGAAAGATCTCTCATGCTCATGAGTAGGTTGGATTAACATAGTAAAAGCAGCAATCTTACCAAAAGCAATCTATAGATTCAGTGCAATCCCCATCAAAATCACAACACAATTCTTCACAGACCCTAAAAGAACAATACTCAACTTCATATGGAAAAATTAAAAACCCAGGATAGCTAAAAGAATCCTGTACAATAAAGCAGCCTCTGGAGGCATCACCATCTCTGACCTCAAGCTCTACTATAGAGCTACAGTAATAAAAACAGGTTGGTACTGGCATAAAAACTGACATGTGGACCAATGGAATCAAATTGAAGACCCTGATTTTTGACAAAGAAGCCAAAATTGTACAATGGAAAAAGAAAGCATCTTCAACAAATGGTGCTGGCAAAACTGGATGTCAACATGTACAAAACTGCCCATACTGTTATTTATATATTTATTTTTGGCCTGGAGCTATTTGCAGCCAAAATTGTTCATTAAATCATATGCTTTTCCACTTTGTTACATTGCTTCCCATTTGTAATATTTTTGCATACATTAATTTTGCTAGATGTAACTGCAAATTTAAAAGATATTGAATCCTTAAACCAGAATGCCACAGGACTCCCTGGTGGTATCTTGGCTCCTGCTTTGGTAGGGGAATTTCACCCAGCATGGCTGCCAGGTGCAGACAACTTCACCCAATTTTGTCACCGTCATTACCTGAGGTTGTGTTACAAGTTACAGTAACAGTGGCAACCACTTACCGAGCACTCACTATCTGCCTTCTAAAATGGTATCTAATCAACACCCCAAAATCCTCACAAAACTCCACATAACAGTTACATTTCCCCTGCTTTTCTGATGAAGAAATGAGGACTCAGAGGCACCAAGGGACTGGGACTGGTCTTAAGCAAAGCCAGCAACTTGTCTATAGCTTACCAGAATCCAGTCTGAGTGCCGTACCCAGTCTCTTGACATCCGCAGCTTACTTCCTCACTTAGCATAAGATGAGGAAATGAAAATGAACCTATATAGGACTGCTGTGGGATGTTCTATATGTTAAATATGTTGCTCTGATTGATTAATAAATAAAACACTGATTGGCCAGTAGCCAGACAAGAAGTATGACAAGTAGCCCACAAGACAAGGTGGGACAAGGAAAGAGGAACATTCTGAAAAGTGGAAGGCTAAAACAGGGAGACACTGCCAGCTGCCTCCATGAGTACCAACATGTAAGATACTGGTGAGCCACGAGCCATGGGACAAAGTATAGATTAATAAAAATGGGTTAATTTAAGATAAAAGAACTAAATAACAAGAAGCCTGCACAGCCATACAGTTTGTAAACAATATAAGTCTCTGTGTGTTTACTTGGTTGGGTCTGAGTGACTGCAGGGCTGGCAGGTGAGAGAGATTTGTCCTGACTGTGGGCCAGGCAGGACTGGAGAAAACTTCAGCTACATGGGACGGATAGGACTGTAAACACCCAATAAGTCAGTTTAAAGGTGTTTATTCCGCTGTTATTAAACTACAAAAGATAATGGTTGACATCAACAACCATCTTATATCCGAGACATCCATGTATTTCAAATTCAGGTAAGTCTCTTAAGGTGGCATTGACAGGGGGCACTTAGATGATTGACGGCTGCTCTGGTCTAGAGGATTCAAGACCACTTTACTCACAGACCTAGCACCTTAGGGCAAACTGAAGATGAGACCTAGGTCATCCTTCTGCGTTTCCATGAAATCTCACAGCTTCCCCATGCGGTAGCTCCAGGACACTAGTTGCAATCAACTTGTCTATCCCAGTACTAAAGCTACAGAAGGAAACGTTTACAGGAATAGGAAGGTAAGTAATGTGAGCGTTTGAAATCTCAATGAGTTTTCTGATTTGTGAAAATAAAGACCATTCTTGGGTTGGTTTCAAAAAGAGGAAGCTATTTTCTCATATTTCTCAAGACAGAACACACTGTGGGTTTGGTGTCCTCTGAGGCCTCTCTCTATCGTGGTCCCATGGCTATCCTGGCTGTCCCCTAGCTGTGTCCTGTGGAATCTCTCCACCGTGCATGCACATCCCTAAAGCTTTTCTTTCTATGAGAAACACTAAATGATATTCGCACACTACATCCTCATCTTAAATTTAAAAACTCTTTTACAAACCAGGTCTAAACATGGTTATGTTCTGAGACACTGAAGATTAGGACTTTGATGGTGGGAAGTGGAAAGATGAGCAATTTACTCCACAATAAATGTTAATCTAGTGCTTTTAGGTTAAGTGGGGAGGGAGACCCAAAGAGAAAAATAATATTTTGCTAGGGTTAGAGAACCCAGCCTTTGGCAGTGAGAATGAGAACTCTTTCCCATGCAGGCCCACTAAGAAAATACTGGACAATTTCCCCAAGATTTATATTTTGTATTGTGGGAGCAATAAACAGAGGCAGGTTCAATGCAGGGACTAGAGATTTCCCCCTTTTCTTTAGAAATTTCAGCATTCTTACAACCACTTTTATCATAGGACACTGAGGTCATGGGCTTCTCAGCACACCCGGATCTCTGAGCCATTCATTCTTCCCATTTCTTGGCTGACATTTCTAGAATGCAGGTCACTATTTAGACTCTGAATCACAGTAATATTGGAGAATATGATGTCCTTGTTTCTACCTTAACATAGAGCTGTCAAGACGTTGAGAACATCTCCACAGTAATTTGCAAACATAGACCCATTCTGGGACTCTGAGTCACCGCATTAGTGCCCCCTAATTTGCAGTGTATACCCCATCTTTGATTTGCAGCTCCTGGATTTCAAGAATAACCTGCATCTTAGAAAGAAATTGGCTTATAATCTGTCTAGGCTTCTTCTGGGATGCATCTGCTACCTTCCAGGATAGAGGGGGTAGAAAAAGTCATTTAAGTCTCTAGGGAAATGTAGCACAATTAGTGCTCAATGCTCCTTTTGCAGTCTCTCCTTGTATTCTAATCTATGTTTCCATGCTGTATGAGATTAAAAGACACATCCTCCCAGAGATAAAAGGAGTAATTTAATTCTAAGTCATCTAATAAAATTATGCTAAGCTTCTATTATGTATCACTATTGTTGGGGGAGGGAAAGATGCAGTATAGTAAAGTGAAACTGGCCTGTCACAACACAAAACACATTTCAACAAAACAAGCATGAATTAAGAGAAGGATGGGGCAGAAAGGATTTATGTGGTATACTGTTCAACATCATGAATTATGGAAGCTAAAACCCCAGAGTTTTTCCTTCTTATTTTATCAGTTGTAAACCTTGTGATCCACGGTTTGTTAGTCAGAGGTTTAAGCAGAAGCACATAGGTAGGGTACTAAACAAAGCACCTGGCATAAATCAGTGCCCAGTATATGGTAGCTCCCATTTTCATGCTTCCTAACGTGGCTGTAAGAAGTGAACAACTGACAGTTTTGATCTCTCCTATTCCTCACCAACCTTGCAAATACGATTTTTCTCCACTCTTCTCCACTTCCTAAATGATTTCTTCAAACATCCAGTTGGTCATGCCAGAACTTCTTTGCCCTCCTCCTCCTCCTCCTCCTCCTCCTTCTCCTCCTCACGTCCCATAAGCCAGTCAGAAGCAGAGGAAGGCAGGATGTCGAAAGTGGAAATTTGTGGTCCCATGTTGTCTGGGGCAAGAGAGGTAGTTAGTACAATGGAAAGCACATACCTGTCAGATGTTTCCAAGGAGACACTACAATAAACTGTTTCTTTCTCCTGCTTACTTCCTTTGGGATTGTTATTTGTCTTATAATTTCAGGTTACAGTCCATCACTGGGTTTGAGAACTCAAAACAGGAACTTCAAATAGCTAGTCCCATCACATTCAAAGCTAAGAGCAGAGAAAAATAAATGCATGCATCCGTACCTGCTTTTGTTTAACTCATTTTTTCCATTTGTATACAGTTCAGGATCTCCTCCCTAAGAAATAGTGATACCAACTGTGAGCTGGGTCTTCACAAATAAGCTAACTTGATTAAGACAAGACTGCAGAAATGTCCATCAGCCATACTGATAAAGACAATCCTTAACTGAAGTTCTCTTCCCAATTCACTCTCAATCTCTCTCTTTCTTTCTCTCTCTCTCTCTCTTTTTCTCCCCTCTCCCTCTCTTTTTTGCTTTCTTGTATGGCTGTTTTGCCTGCATGTATGGCTGTGCAATATATACATGTTTAGTGTTGGCAGAAGCCAGAAGAGAACATCAGATTTCCTGAAACTGAAGTTACAGGTGGTTCTGAGCCACCATGTGGGTGTGGGTGCTGGGAATCAAACCCAGGTCCTCTGGTAAAAAAACAGCTAGTGCTCTTACAAGCTAAGCCATCTCTCCAGACCCACACCCATACCTACCCTCACTTGCCTCCTTTTGATTTACATTCAAGACATACTCCTTTCTCTCAGTCTGTCATTTTCTACCTGGAAACCATAGTGAACGTCAACCTAGACTCTCAACCTACAGTCCTCTAAGCTAGTCTTTACAGGGTCACCAGTCACATCTCCACAGGATTGCAGCCTCGGCTAAACCTTGACTTCATCTTTTTCAGGGAACACCATTCTTCCCCCACAGCAAGAAATGCTGAGCTAAGCCGATTCAGAATTCCTAGCTCATAGTAAGCTACTAGTTTTGGAATGGTTTCTTACATGGATTAGCAAACCAACATAGCACCCTGGGGGTTTTATACTGGCTAGTTTTTCCCCTTAGAATATTCCCCCCCCCCTTTTTTGGTCAGGCCGATCCTTATTTAGAAGTATAGTTAAGCAGGCTGTATGAGAGTAAGGATGCATGGTCTTGGGGTGTCTGGGTTGGAGGAGGCAGTTACAGACAATAGAATGTACATGACCTTCAGATATTTGATCCTAGGAAGACACTTGAGGAAGCCGCCTCTTTCTCCTACCTGCTTCCTGAATTACTGACCACTCACAGCAGCCTGAAACCACCCAAAGCAGAGGCTTACAGAAGTTCTTTCTGAGGATTTTCCTACTAAGAAATATAAAGCTAAAATGAATTTTTACAGAAGACTAGAGTCCTTTGATAACTCCTAGAATGGCTGACATTTGCCAGAGAGCTCACAGGAAATTTTCAGTTTCTAGCATGCCTACATACTCAATACCATACAGACAGCACTGAGTATGGTCAAGTCGATAAACACTGTTTCTCTGATGTAAAAGGATGGTGTCAGCCAGAATTACCTGAAGGTCCTACCATCTTTGAACTTCACAGACATGAGGGAGCTTCTGGGAAGACATATGTAAAGTCACCATATGAAACCAGAATGAGCTCAGGACACATCATATAGATAGATACTTTTCTACCAAGTGAAGAAGAGACTGTTTTCCAGGATTCACAAGGAAGGAAAAGTCACTTAGAGAAAGTACACTGAAGCTACTCACATTTCTGTGCTGAACTGAAGAGAAATAAGTGCCATTTTGAGATGAGGCAGAAATGTGATGTGTTATAGAAACAGAGTCCTTGAGCCTGGGGAACACTGGTAAAGTTCACCATATGCTCAAGTTAGGGTTTCCATAGAATTAATAAATGGCCATTTGAAAATTTCCTCGGTGAAAAAAAGCTAATTCCTCATTCTGTGTCTTTTTCCTACTTCCTGATCTCTGAGCAGTGGAGTTTTGCCAACAGGAACACTACTTGCTGAGGCCCTTTAGAAAAGCAACAGCCATTCTCTTTCTTCATTTCTTTCCAGAATCCTTCTATCCTTGCTGCCATAAGGCACTCTTGTCTTACCCTATTACTTCCACTGTTTTCAGGGTGGTATCACCTTAGTGAGACACTGTCTTTCCTCTCCTTTCAAAGGAAAACAGACCTAGTTTCTTTAACCTTTCAGCAAATTCCCCAAGTCCCTCTGTCATTCTAGTTGGCTTCTGCTCTGCCTTCTCTAGTTCCAGAATATCCTATTTATAGAAGGAAACCCAGAATGAGCTCAGGACTCATCATATGACCTAACCAATTCTCTTTACATGACTAGAATAGCTTGCTCCAACTTCTCTTCCCTTCTGCAATTTATTCAGTGTATCTCAAACGGAGCATATCATTCTTCTTTTATTCCAGTACATATTAAATGACAAATATTCAAACTCTAAGCCAGTGCTATTTATTACAAGGGATTGATGTTCACTACAATCAAGACAATTCCAGAATTAATAGGTTCAGGGAGGGGTTAGAGACTATAGTTAATACAGAATTAAGGTTTAAAAATCCAAGTTTTTTCCCCTTGATTTTTTTTTAACTGTATGACATTCACTCCAGTTACTTAAGAGGTTTCTTAGCTGTCAATCACACCATAATGTGAGTGAAACCACTGCCTGGAAGAACATGCTTTAGCACTCAGCTGTGCAAAACACTGCAACCCTGTCACCTGGAAATTTGTTGAAAATGCCAAATCTTGGTTCCTATCCCAGATTCAGAATCTGCTTTCTAACAAGCCACCAAGGAGATTTGTGTGTATATTAAATTATGAAAACCGCAGTTCAGCAGCTGTGAGATCTTCCCTCCAGGTACTGCAGGCAGTAGAGAGCTCAAGTGTCTCTCTTGCTAGGCCCACCACATTACCTTCAGTCTATTTTCCTCACTGATTTTCATTTGCCTTTCCATGATCTTAACTCTGGTGATCCATCTCTTTATATTTACTTTTATTCATCTTTGCCTGTAAGATGTTTTAAGAAGAGTCACTCAGCTCAAGCTCCAAATTCCACAGTGGTCTTATTTCAGCTTCACTGTGAGGTTGTCTGGTTTTCTGAAACTGAGTTAAGTCATATTTAAATCTTCTATCTCAAGTTTAGTTGTCAAGCTGAGGAATATATCAGAGCTATTGTAGACTAAATCATGAGTTTCCAAAAGAGCTCCCCACCCCCCACCCCCCCACCCCCTGACGCACCGTGTGTGTGTGTGTGTGTGTGTGTGTGTGTGTGTGTGTGTGTGTGTGTGTGTCCTCCCTCCCCACCCCCCTTGGTGCTCTGATCGTTTCCTTTCCAGCTAAACTAGGTTTGGTAGATGGAAGATTTTGTGAGTTCTTTTTAAATATGAGCTCAACACCAGGTTCTTGGCAATCATTACCCATTCTTGTTTTCAGAAAGCTTTCCAAATTGTGCATCGTGATTCTCTGCCTCTCCTTCTATTGCCTGTGGAGAACCATTAGGGATCAGGAAGTGACTAAGAGAGCCAATCTTTCTTCCTACCTGGACAGAATCACTTCTTATGTCATAAACAGAAAATTTTTGTTACCTGTTTTCTTAGACTACAAGTCATCAACTCTGCTGCTATCGAAAGCCTCTCTGTGGCCACTGTCCTACATTGATTATAACTAGCAATCTTGAAGTAATGAATAAGAAAAGGGAACATTGAGGAAAGGAAAGGGGACACTATTAATATCTTACAGTAATTAACAAAGTGCTCAACTCTGAGATTCAAGGATGCTTTATGGAATTATTAATATATGGTTCTGTAGCCCTCATCACTCTATCTGCCACAGAGTAAGTACAAGAGGAAAGATTAAAAGTAGTAGTTAGAGAGAAAGAAAAAAATAAGACCTCAAACACAGGGTGAAATAGAGAACTCATCAACATAAACAAATTGACTTGATGAAAATATTTGGGAGGAAAGAATATGAGCTCTATCTCATCCACATCTACATCAACACTCTAGAGGAGTTCCTAGCCCATCACTTCATTGTGATGTAAATTTCCATTTCAAATCCAATATATTTCAAAAGATATCCAAGCATCTCTTAATTTGCTAAGGAAAAAACATTTCTTTCTCACTCTGTTTTGTGTTCCCCTTTCCCACTAATTCTAAGATGTCTCAACCATCTATTCAATTGTATTCTTGTACTGTCTACTTCTGTGGAGTCCTTATTCATTTTTGTGCCTATCTTTAAATATATAAGACAAGCTTTTAACTGTGGCATTGATGGAAGACCCATGTGAATATAAACAAACCAAAAAAAACTCCTTCCTGCTAGGTTATGTTCATATTTTGCTTTAAATTTGGCTACATTTTCAGATTGTGATAGTTCAGACACATTTGTTTAGCATTTACTTTGAAATGGTCCTATCATTGCTAAAAATGAATGGGGTCAGATGAACTTGGAGATGTGTGATATTCATATCACAGCTGACTAGATTTGTGTGGGAAAAGATGACATGACCGCAGGAACAAATGCTCCCAAGATTAAAATTGTAGCAGGTACACTGGTTGGTTGGCATCTATTTTAACAGATAAAATGACTGCAATCTTTGCTTGTATTGGGTACTGGATTTCTACAGATGGAAAACAAGAAGGAATTATATAAGTGAGTTTGAGCAGGTAAAAACCTGGAGAGCTGATAATAAACCAAAAGAAGAGAATTCTCCCCAGGTCATTGGAAAATCAAGAAAAGAAAATACACACATGTGTAGTCATTATACAACACATATCACATATTTATGTAGGTCAAATATTATCTCTTCACTCTTCTCAACAACTCACTACAATAAATCTCATTATATAGCAATTTTTATAACTCATCTTGATCCATAAGTTGTATTACTTTTAAGTAATAGATACAAGCAAGGAAGGTAGAAAAATATTCCTTTGGAAATATTTTCAATACAATCCTGTGCTGTCTAAACAATTCAAATCTAATCACTCATTCATGTTTTGAATCCAGAAATACCTAAGCCATCAATTTAGGGTACCTCTAAAACATAGCATTAATTTTCAAAATAAATATACGTTAGAGAAGGCAATTCCCTACAGAAGCCAGGAACAGTTGACAAAGTCAGACATATGACAATAAGAAATAAGTGTGTTCACATATAGCTTATTCTCCCACGTCATTCTAAGATTTCAGACCAGTCTGAATTCACCAACAGGCAAGGGTGGTTACTAACACCTTTGTGAATTTCACTCTCAGTAAACTGGCTTTGCCCACAAAACTTGTACCCCAAGACCTCTGAGGATGGTTTGTGCCAGCGGTCCTAGTCTTAGGGCAGCATCTGCTGGTTAATTCATGGATGGACAAAAAGTGACCATTTGTGAACAATATGAACAGTTCTTTTAGTGGGAGGTAGCTGTTGCCTTGGTGACTGTAATGGGTGAAAGGTCATCTCTTAATGATGATCACCCCCAAGTCTCCAGGAGTCTAGCAAGTCTATGAGGTGAAGAAAATCTTTGTACAAACATATGTTTGCTGGAGCTGAAGATGGGCTGGGTGGATTTTGGAAACATCTCTCTAGAGGTGCATATGGATACTCAACGCTGGACTTACTACTAATACTAATAATCCAGTACCAACGGCGGTTTTAAGAACAGAAACCCATAGGAGTTAGGAAGTAAAGCTTAGTGTCCCTAAAGAGAGCATTCTTGGTGGGGCAGCCACTGCATGCTAATCTTCTAACTCATCCTATGTGTAATTCTGATTTTATACACCAGGAAGTACGAATTCCATTCGAACACAGCACATCTGATTGGAATAAAGAAACTAGAAATTGAAAAGGACTGGGTGGTCTAAAACTTCAGAACTCTCCACCATCTTCTGCAACACCCTCCCCACCCCGCCCCCCCCTCGCCGCCGGCGCCGCTGTCTCATCCCTGCAGTCAATAGCGCCACAGCCAGGGCCAGTTAGGCCGTTGGTGGGCTCCACTGTTGGGAACTCGGGAGGAAGAGTAAAATCATGGTGTCGGTGCCAAAACGGCGAAACCTGAAAAGCGTCTGGGGACTTCCCAGTGCACTCGCGCTCCTCGGAGCTACCGGCATCTCCATAACAACTGGTTTTACATTCATCCTCGGTTCCTGTGCTCCGCTGCGCAGGGGAAGCCGAGGGTAGGCAAAGGACTGCTCTAGTGAAGAAATACCTGGAGCTAGCGCCTCCCAACGTTGGGGGATGCGGTTACCTCTGGACTTACAGCTCATTTCTAGAGATTTCCGGAGTTCTGCCCAGGACCTCAGCCCAGTGCCTCGCCCTTCCCCCACTGCGCCCCTCCCCCACCGCATCCGCCTTTCTCTTTATTTTACACGCGCACACGCGTACGCGCACACACACTGGGGGGTGGGGGGTGTTTTATTGTGCCTCCTTCTTCTTGAAGTTCATCTCTTTCCTTTCAACTTACTTTCCGCCAACACGTGACCTCTCCACTTCCCAGCCTGCGCAGTCACTGGTGGAAGTGTGGTGGCCAGCACGGGGTTTCCTGGGAGAGCCCCCCTCCGGGTACTCGCTTCCGAAGCCCACCTCCTTGAGCGCGGGGCACTGGTTCTCAACCCGGCTACCGGGAAGTACCCGGGTTAAATCAGCACCCGGGGCGGGGGTGGGGGTGGGGAGGACACCGAGCCGACGTGCCACCCAGGGTCTGGCGCGGATCTCCCCACCCCCACCCCGCTCCCAGCTTATACCCCTCACCCCTGGGCTCGGAGCTGCAGGGCTCCCGAGGCGGACCTAGCTGCACACAGGGGCGGTTAACTCGCATTTGAGAAGCCATAAGCCATTAGAGCAAACGCAGTCATAACTTCATTCAACTCAAGCCGCTTGAGAGCTCGGCTTACAACACAGGTTCCTGTGGGCAACTAGTGGCTCGCCCGGGTGCCTCTCGCCTAGTCATCAGTCCCTAAGAGGAAAAGGGAAAGTTACGGGGCTGCTACGCTCTTCGATGCACGCAGTTGTTCCTCAGGACAAGTCACTCCCGCTACACCATCACCCTCCCCCAATTCGATCGTCACTCACGACCACGTCCGCTGGAGACCCTTAGTCATGGTGGGGGAGGGGGAGGGGCACGAACTTTTCTAAGAAGTTTCCTTTTTAACCAAGGGAGTCACTGTGTGTTGGTCACGTAACCGACTCAGAGAGGCTGCTGTTGCCCCCTCCCCTAACCCCCTCCCCGCTGGGTTTTTTTTTTTTTTTTTTTTTTTTTTTTTTTTTTTTTTTTGGGTATTCTTATTAAAGCGGTAGCCGGCTGGTGCAGAAAAGCAACAAGTTCCCCAGCGGTCTTCCCGCCCTAGCCTGACAAGGCGAAGGCTTTCCTACCTGGCGACAGGGAAATCTCCTGAGCAGAGCTAATCTTTGCCAGAGCCCCAGGTGTGACCTGGGCAGTGAGTGGGCAAAGGAGCGGTGTGCAGACTGGATATTTTTATGGGGGTACTCTGAAATTCCCTCACTTTCTCTGGGAACTTTCTGTGCCAGGACGCAGTGACAGGCGGTGAGAAGGATGCTTCAAGAAACATCCGCTATATAGCAGAGCCGTTGGACAGTCATTGGTAACCTCGCTCATTCATTAGAATCACGTATGAACTCAAAGGGAAACGTGTCTCTCAAAATGAGGGCGTTTGCGTAAATCTATAGGTTTTCAACATCGATGCCAATTGCTTTGTCTTCTGTAGTCGTCAAGGTGGTTGAGAGTTTAAGCTTGCGGATATTGCAAAGGGTTATTAGATTCATAAGTCACACCAAGTGGTGGGCGATCCACTGAGCAAAGCCGAACTTCTCACATGATGACTTCAAACAAGACACATTACCTTCCAGCATCTGTTGGGGAGACGAGATTTTAAGACACTGAATCTCCAGGACAGCAAAGCCACAATGGTGAGTAGCAATAAGCCTTGCATTATAATTGAAAATCTTGACATGTTGCCTAACAACAGGAATATCACGGCTCTTCCTAGCACTTCACACGCCAAAGAACAGCAGCTATTCAGGCCAGGGGAATCGGGTTTTACCCACTGAAACTTTAATTGGAATCATTTGAGATTTAACACAGCAGTGTGGAACTGCGTGGAACAAACTTGGAACTGGAGGGGGTTGTTATACTGGCTGTTCAAAGCTGATGCTTGTCTGCCAGCCGTCTTGTATTCCATTCTTTGCTTTACTGTATGGTGCATGAGCATATTGTATGATTTATATGTGGGCATGTAATTGACATCCGCAAAGGGGTTAATTTCCATCTAAAAACAATAATGTTGTTAGAGGTTGGGGTTGGGAGTGGAGGGGATAAGAATGGGGTAGAGACTAAGAGTTAAGGCGAGGATAGGGGTGGAGTTGGGGGAGAGAGGAATAAGTCAGAAGTGCCTATCATCGATAATGAAATGGGTAATGCTCTCATACATGAAAAGGGTCTCATCAACATGTGATCAACTATTAACAGGATGGCTTTGGCAAAGCCATCCGCACGTGACAAAACGTAAGGAAGTGGAAGAAACCGACTAGAGCAATATCAAGTACCACTTAATTAGAGATTTTTTTTTTAGCCTTTTCCTCCTGCTGCGCCGGGTGTGTGATCCGGGCTAGCAGAGTCCATTCAGCACCTTGGACAGAGCCAGCGGATTTGTCCGAGGTGGTAGTACTTCATCCAGGTATTCTTTTCCTCGCTGTCAAGCCAACCCGGTGTCGCCCTTAAAAAGCGTCTTTTCCGAGGTTCGGCTCACACTGAGATCGGGGCTGGAGAGAGAGTCAGATTTTGAAGCGGAGCGTTTGGAGAGCGAGCCCCAGTTTGGTCCCCTCATTGAGCTCGCTGAAGTTGGCTTCCTAGCGGTGTAGGCTGGAATAGACTCTTGGCAAGCTCCGGGTTGGTATACTGGGTTAACTTTGGGAAATGCAAGTGTTTATCTCCAGGATCTAGCCACCGGGGTGGTGTAAGCCGCAAAGAAGGTAAGCACCGGGGCGGGGACCCTGCATCCCCAATTCTTGAGCTATTTTGATACTCGATCTTCCGGGAAGGACGCGTAGTGGAGCGGAGGAAGTGGAGGGAGAGCATGAGAAAGGGCTGTTTCTTGGTATTTGCCCAGTTTAAATTGCCCTAGGTGAGAACCTGAGGCAAATCGAGGAGGGGGAAGCTCAACCTTCCTGCGGATATAATGAGTTTAGTTAACTTGGAACCGCAAATATCTGATTCAAATGTAAGATCTCTCTCATTCCCCCTTCCCCTCCCTCTTTTCCGTTCTTTTTGCTTGTGTGTGGTGTGTGTGCGTGTACAGTAGATTCATTACTAATTATGAAGCTTTTACACAACATTTGATTTCCTAAAATTTGACTTTGTACCATTTAGAATCCGACGATGGAGGGAGTGTGCAGTGGGAAAGAGGAGGTGGAGGCTGGGAAGAGGGAAGGAGGCTAGCTAAATACCCACAAAATGAATCAAGGTAATTTCAGCTCCTCTAGTGAGGAGGATTCATTCTCTCAGTATCCCTGCCTCCCTCTCTTTCCCCCTCCCTCCCTCCCTCCTTCCCGCCCCCCTTCTTCCACCCCGCCCCCTCCTCCTGCCTCCATCCCTCCCTCATTTTCTTTCTACCTCTCCTTAGCCCTCGCGATCCTCGCTGGATAGTTCTTTATGTTTTGGGTGATTCTTTTCTTTTTTTAAATTTTTACCCCTTTCTATATTCCCTCCCCGAGAGTTCCCGGCGCTGGCTTGGAGGGCTCCCGCTTTCTCAAGGGAAGGGGAGCCGCTGAGACTGCGCTCCACTCCCTGCCGGGCCGGATGCCTCACTGAGCCCAGGTCCGAGTCAGTCAGGGTAACTCAGGGAAAGGGGGGGCCTCCGCTCGGGAAGTGGAAGGTCCTTTCTGGATCCAAGAGCCCGGGAGCGGCCCGGGGAGGGGGCCTGGGCGGCTGGTGGAGGTGGAGAACACTCGTAGCTCTGTGCGGCGGCTGGACAGAGCCACCAATCAGCGGGGCGCGCAGACCGCCTAGCCGGGCGAGGTTGTGTCCACCGGCTCGGGTGGAGGGCCTGGGCTCTCCGCCGAGCTGCCGCCACCACCTGGGTGGGCTGGTACCCTAGCAGGGAGTGGAGATGGAGGGAATGGGGGTAAGCTAGACTCGGGCTGGGAGCCGCCCAGCCTTCTCCTCCAACTCCCCTGCCCCCGCCTGCGCCCCCGAGAGACCTAGAGCGCCCCGAGCGTGCCGCTGCGCTGTCCTCCAGCTTCTCTTCCGGGAGTTCAGGGACTTGCGCGCCCCTGGGGGAGGGGTGAGGGTACCTATCCACACTCCTATAACCCTCATTCCCACTGCTTCCCTGGCCCTTTGTTCAGGCCAGGAGCTTTGCCCTGCCGCAGCTTTCTATCCAAGGCTTGTTGCCTCCGGACCCCTCCCCAGATAAGGCTTGGGATGAGGGTGAGGGGCGTTATGGGGGAGAAAAACGATTTCTCAAACTCAAGACTCAAGATTATTTTTAATGAAGGAAAGAATCCCAACTCTGCGCAGGTGGAAAAGATGAATTCATAGGCGATGCGAGGATATTGTGGAAATTTAGGGGGCGGGGGGGGGGAAAACTGGCAGTTGGATCAGATGACTGCCCATAGGCTGTTCGCCACACAAAGGGAACGTAGGGCAGGGTTTACGGATCAAGCCTGCAGCGAATGGGGCACAGACAGTTCCGGGATCCAGGCGTTTTCTCAGTCAGATCTACGTGAAGGGAGCGGAGGGGAGGGGCCGGGAGGGAAGCGTGGCGGGAGGGGCCGGGCTTGGGGACGGGGGGATTTCGGATCAGTCTGATGCAATTCCAAGCGTGCTGCAAAGGAACTCCAAGGCGCCCGCATCACCATCGCCACCCACCCTTCCCAGATGGTGCTGTTTTAAATACGGATCTGCAGGGCTGAACGCAGAACTGGGAGATTTATTGCAAAATCCTGAGAAGGGGGGCCGGGGACAGGGAACCAAGGGACAGAATTTAAAGGTGCAACGCCTGCTTTTTCCCCAACCCAGCGGCAACCGGTTGGAGTTTTTTTTTGTTGTTGTTTTTCTTTTTTCCTTTTTTCTTTCTATTTTTTTTCTTTATGTCTGCCTGTCTTTGGATCTAATTCACTAAGGACAAGGTGTAAATATTGTGACATTTCGTGGAGGCTTAATGGATAGGGAAAAAAAATCATCTGTCATTCTAAATTGCAGAGTTTCCCTCCCGCGCCATGCCTTGCTTGCGATACTTGGGGCTGCCTAATACAGTTACGAGGGCTTTAGACAAACGCTTCGTTAAGGGAATATTATGTTTTTAGTCCACTTGCCAATTTGTCTGACAGTTGAACCGAGAAAATTGTAGGTATCATGTCTGTGGGCGGCAAGGAGGGAAAATACTTACCAGTCTAATTATTTTAACCTCGATTTTTTTAACAACTTAAATAAGCCTCAAAAGTGTCACGTCATCCTCTTACATCCAAGCATCCTTGATTTGTAAGGGGAGATGATTTCGACTGTCACTTTAAGAATGGTGCCCCTGGTATTAGCTATTTTTATGTATTAACACAGATATCAGATATCTTTAACATAAAGGTAAAAATTTCAATTGCCCTTTTTGGAGTCAGAAGA